GCAGCGTTCCTACGGGAAAGTAACGGTAATCTAATTACCTTTTTTGCAATAGTAATCCCTTACTTTACTCGTTACTTGAAAAAAGTAATTGGATTACAGTAACGCATTACAAGTTACAAAATATTTTTTCTAAATGCTTCATAAGTCAAGTCATCCTTTCAGATAAGGTCACAAAAAGTACTTAACAACTAGTAACTGTCTGAATTAACCATGAATTACAGTATGACAATAAAGTGTCTGTTAACACATTCACAAACACTTCAGTTCATCAAGCATTGAGTAATACTAATGCTTAAATGTCTAAAACATTACAAAGTAAAGAAAATCATATGATCTTAATCTCAATCCGTTTTCACACAGTGAGACTGCAGCGGCCCAGCATCTCCTTGACGTCTCCTAATGCAGGACTTGTCTGGGGTCCTGAAGGTGCACAGATCACCAGGGGTTACAGCTTTGTCCTCACCTGTTCCATTAACTCCACATTTTCCAGTGGACATTTTATTCTGAGCTTCTCTGGCTCCAACCTCACAGAGCCAGCAGTCAACAACTCGGCCTCCTTTAGTTTCCCTGTAGCTGAGTATGAACGGCAGGGCAACTACAGCTGTGTGTATGAGGTCACAGTGTCCACACGGACATTCACATCTGCTGAAACTGCACTGATTACTGTCATCATTAAATGTAAGTACACTGTTAAATATATGTATTTTTATTTTTTACTAAGAAAGAAGAATCATAAATATCACTGGCAATTCTACTGGGCAGTATTTTTCCCTCAGACGTCTCTCATTCTGTTAATTTCTAAATTTGTATGCATTTAAAAAGAAAGAAAAGGAGAAGCAGGTATAAGTCAGAAGGCAGTTCTGATATAGAAACAAAACTGAACAGGAACAGGAACAAGCACAACTGATAATATATCCTAGCAAAGCAATCCTTTGCTAGGATATATTTGTATTTGCTTATACATGCTCTGGACCAGAGATGTCAAACAAATCGACATGGGAAAGACTCCAATCTGGCATAAATTTTAGACTTTATCTGAATTTTCATAGACTTTTTAGCTTGTCCTACTGACAAAGGTCTCACCCACAGTCATTCCTTACTACATCAAAGTAATTAAGTAACAGATAAACAATTAAATAAAGAAGTTTGGGTTTTGTCATTGTATACTACAGAAAAACTGAGACATATTGTTGAACTTGCACTTCTTTTTCTTATATTGAAATATTGCAGGGATTAAATGTGCTATAACTTTTGTACACTGACAGAGTTTCATTGTTTCAACCCACTTAATATGAGTGTGGGCTGTATTTGGCTTCCGCTGTAAAATGGGTTTGACATCCCTGCTCTGCATTAACAACTTAAATGAGAAGCAGTTCATTTCAGTGGGACAGAATGTGTTCTAATAGACAAATGCTGTCCTCCTAGTGTCTTTGATGCCGCTGGTGTCCTCTGTATCTGTTGTAATCCTGCTGCTGCTGCTGTTGCTGATCCTCAGAAGAAAACGACAACACAAGCAGCCTGCAGCTCTCATCCAAACTCAAAGTGTGTACTCACCAAGAGACACAATTTTATTTTATTTTCTTTTTTTTTTTTTTTTTTTTAATGAATTTAATTAAAAAAGACACAATTTTAAATGATTACAAGTTTAACTATATATTCACATTGTTTTCCTTTACGTGTGTTTCAGTGGTTGTCCAAGTTGAGAATGACTACACGTGGGGAGACAATGAGGGCGATGAGGAGGTCTATATGAATGTTGATCTGCATCAAAAAATAAAAGGTGAAGCTACAGGAGAGGATGGAGACTTGAGCGATGACTATGAGGAGCCAGTGAATGATGGCGACTGTGATTTTAAGGAAACAGATCCCAGTGACTATTACAGATGTCCAAAAGAGGCCTGTATGTTTGTAGACAATCACAGGGAAGAAGATGATGATGAAGAGAAAACTAGTCATGCAGAAGATGTCTTTGAGAATGTATCCCCTCCATCACCAGTTTATTAACATTCATAATGACCTGAATCGCATAAACATCCAAAATACAACCACACCGAAAATACCTGCAGGCCAATAAATGTTCACCAGTGTCGTATGGGTTCTATTTCTTCAATATACCATTCTTTGTAACAATATTTCCCTGATATAATGAATGGTATTTAGCAATTAATCTTGTATTATGTGGTCCAAACTGAAGTACTATAAGTACTTTTAAATTACAGTTATTTTCGATTCCTTGTGGCACCTGACTTCACAATATCCTGATCTGTGAGTTTGATATCGGTTCTTATTTAAAGGTTCCCCTTCTGGATCTCTGCAGGCTGCATGTCAAAGCTAAATGTGAAGGCTGTGTGTGGGGGGAGGCTCAAATGATTGTAAAACTGTTTATTGAAGTGTATCGTTAAAATTGGGCTTTGTCCCCTGAGGTTCTTGTCATGTCTGCTCCTTGTTCATGACGCCCACTTTCAAAATATCAGGAGAAAATTGGCAAAATTGCTCACCTTTAAGCTTTATAGTGGGACTAAAACCAATGGGTGATGTCAACCGTTCTAAGGTTATCCTTTCCTCTAACATTAAAACATTTTCTTTACACTGTAAGAAAATATTAGTTTTTTACCCTAAATATTGAAATCCTCTTATTCCAAGTAGCCTTTGACAAACACCACTGAACAATTTAGGTTCAAAAAACTGTTTGACTTTTTTTCACCCTTCATAATCTTACAAAGAGTGCATCAGTAATGGATGGAAACATTCTTTTAAACAACCTTTCCTTTGAACCTTTTTTTTTTTCATTTTATTGATTCATACTGTATTTTATATTTGATCTTGGACGTGAATCTGGGTTGGCTTCATTTTAAAATGTACAAGTCTGAGCCTGAATTATTGTTTTTCAATGCTTTTTGTTTTTATCTTCATATATTATTCTATTTTCTTGGTGTATATATCTAAAAAAACAAACAAACAAACTTTTTATGTTGCATGCTACTGTACACGTCAACATTACATTATACTCTGTGCATGATACTCAAATACTTTTCCAAGGCAAACCAGAAATTATGTATTGATATTTTGGTAAAGTTATAAACACCCTGCAAATACTTTGAATAAATTCTTACAAAATATTTAGTTTCATCAGGATGTTATTGCAGACACTCACATTAATATAACCTTGATTGGTCTTAATTTGGATGTTCTTGTAGAGCCATGAATAATAAGCAGGCTGAGCTGGGTGGTGTAATAATATCTTAGTCATTTGGAGATGCAGATACAGCAGCTATCCAGAGTCTCCACTTCTATTTCTGGCCTTGGCATCCTTTGGTTTACTGACATACTTCTTTATTTATGCAGCAGCCCCGATGATTCAAAGCTGACTTGAACATTATTCCATATGTGTTTTTCTGTATATCTTTGTTCTTGTGAACAGATCTTTTGGCTTCATTATAAACGGGCACAATGCCTAAAGTTACCAGAGCGCTGAATTTAAATAACTTTTTTTAAAATGACAGAATACTTAACTCCATAAAACCTTTTACAGCCATTACACACATCAAGATAATTAGTTGGCATTTTGTATCAGCAGACTGTACCAAGAGTACCAACCAATCACATTCAAACTTGTTTCTGGTTTGAACCAATGATCTGACAGTCTGATGCCTACAAAGCCACAAATACATATGACACAGGGTCCTTGTAATGTTCACAAGCAGCGCTCACATACACACAGTGTGGAAATGTTAGCACTCTGAGCTCATCCTCAGTGATGAGGCCCTGTAACCTGAGACAAGACAGACTCTGTTTATAATACAAGCTCAGCTCTGAGCAACTGCTGAGGTCACTTGTTGGCTGTCATTTAATGTCTGATAAATTAAAATGTACGCAGAGCACACAGCCTGACACATGAAAGATATTTAGAAAGAAAAATTCCAAGATACTCGTGTAGTATATGCTAGTTAGCTTAGCATAGCATAAAGGAAGGAAACGCTGGATATATTGAAAAGTAGTCTAACTTTACCCACCAGTTACTACAGAGAAAGATGATTAAAAAAATAGGATTCAATATATTAAACTATAACAGTTTAAAATGGCAGCGCACTGGTGCATTGATTAGCACTGCTGTCTCATATCGGGAAGGTTTGAATCCACCAGCAGGCAGTCTTTGTGTGTGGACTCTCCATGTTGTGCTTGTATGGTTTAAGATAAGATAAGACTTTATTGATCCCACGGCGGGGAAATTTGTGCGTTACCTCAGCTCAGGTACAGATAGCAGAAGAAAAATAAGCAAATAAATACAAAATAAATAAGATAATACACGATATACAACAGCAGCATACACAGTATGTGATTATGGATAGAGGGTTGTGGAAATATACAAAAAATAAATGTAACTACTTACCACTACTATTATTACTAAATACCCAAGTAATAGATATATATAAGTATCTATGAGTATAGACGTATACTCAGGGTCTCTCTGGGTACTCCAGCTTCCACCCACAGTCGAGGGGATGAAGCTTTATTAAACAATATTGTTAAACGTTTCAACAGTGAAGGCACATTGAGATGCAGTAAGCATTACTTTTACATTAACATGCAACTAAATCTTCATGAATCAATGTTCAGACGTTACCTAATAATGTAACATGTTCATGTGAAATTATTAAATATTATTAACAGTGCCTTTCACTGTGTTATAACATATCTTAAAATTAAAGTGTTTATATGCATTTCATACAACCTGTTTGCATGCATATTTGCTTCATGTTTTGTTTTGGGGCTTTTTTTGTATTTTGGAGTTTATTTTTGCACCATCCACCTGTAAGGAGAAGCATTGGAGGATGACCTTTGCCGTCTTTACTTCAGTCAAAATAAAGATATCTAGGCACTGAAATCTGAGCTTGTTGTTGCCTCTTTTTTTCTTACATACTGCTATGATACTTACTTTAGTAAAATGTGTTGAATTTGCCATAATTTAAATCACAGTTATATCGAGTCAACAAATCATAACTTTTCAGCTGACTGCTATTTGTGGAGTTTGGACAAATAAAGAGCACTATTTCCATTAGTCAGTTCTGAGTGATGGAAGTAAAATGTTGCGCAAAACGCATTTGTGCAGTTTTAGTTTTTTGACCTTTACTGGCACCATTTAAAGAACTTACAGATTTTGAGCACATAAGTACTTTAATTAAATAGAAGCCATTTTGGCCTAGACAACGTTTGTCAAGTACAAAAACACACAATTCAATAAGATAATGTTTTATTTGCTTTAGTGATCATTTATTTCCTCACTTGTAATTACTGGTCTTTTCATTCCAGTTAAGTTTCATTTTGTATCTAGTAGAAAGAGGTTCAACACTGCTAAAAGGAGTTTACATTTTTGTACTATAAGGTTTGTGGCTTCCATTTGTAACTCAATTCTGTTTGAGGCCGTCTGTCTGTGTTTAGATGATATAGCTTTTCATTTGCAGCACGATGGTGCGGTGACTGTCACTGTTACCTCACAACAAGTAGGTCCTGGGTTCAATTTCACCATCTATGTGGAGTTTGCATGTTCTCCTTGTCGTGGGTACTCGAGCTTCCTCCCACAGTCCAAAGACACGCGGTTAGTGAGGTTAGGTTAACTGGTGATCCTAAATTACCCATAGGTGTGTATGCGAATGGTTATCTGTCTCCCTGCGTTAACCCTGCGACCTGTCCAGGATCATACTAATCATTCTTTTGTCACAGTGAATTGTTCACGTCTTCTTATCCCTGTTCAACTTAAAAGAGCACTGAGCACACAGTGTAGGGTTCTTCTTCACCATGTGTCATAAAATGAGATGAACACTTTAAACTCCTAACAAATTGTCAAAGAAGCAAATAAAAACATGTGATCTTATATTAGCCTGACTATGTACAAAATAAAAGTAACAGGAAGGATTTTTTTCCCATTATTTTACATGGTATTAATTATGTAAACCTTGACCTTAGTTTTTTATTTACAGTAAATAAAGAGGAAATGAAAAATTGCTAACAAGCTGCTATTTTCCCAGAGAGGAAGAAGAAGAAAACTAGCAGGACAGCAAACAAGGTGATTATATAAGTATATATAGATATACTATTATTAAAGGAATTTATTTTAAACTAATAGCTATGATTGGACCATGATCGTGGTTTAATGTAAAAGAAGAGATTGTATAATGTGCTAAAAGGTAAACATTAGGCTAAACCTCTTTTGATTTACTGGGGCAGCCCTTCATTCTGAAACGAGCCACTTTAGCTCCTGTCCTGTTAAACCAGCTTTCTTCTGATGAGCTACTTGTCACGAACAGCAGGTGGGTGGGCCTTCTGTGCACAGAAGTCCACAAACTGCTACAAGAATATTTCAGATTTTAAAATATTTACATTTTTGCTAAAATATTTCAGCAAGACTATTTCATAGGATAAGTATGTATAGATATACTTTGCATGACTTGTTTGGGATGTTTTGGATTTGTTTGTCTAATTCACCATTACATTGGTAATTAACCTTCCTGTAAAGTACATCACCCACATGAGAAGTGACACTCTGGGAAATGTGACCTCTCCTTATTTAGAGAACATTTTAATCCCAAAAAGCTAAAAGCTTTAAGGGGAACAGCCCTTACTGTGTTGCCAGGTTTAAACACTTTTTGCTCACAGTGGTTGTGCTGTGAAGCAGACATGCAGTTTAACTTCCATGTCACACAAACCTTTCTTTAGTGATCAGGAGAGAACCATATTACAATAATGTATCACTAAAAACGAATAATCTGTCATTTCTTTATCAGTTCAATTTCAGCTATAATGAAAATGGGTTGAAATGATTAAAATTGTTTTTTCAGCATGAAATAAGAAAACAGGGCAACCACCAAAACAGCTAGTCCACTGATTACGTCAAACAGATAGCAAACCAGGTTTGAGGAGAAGAGATGTCAGATGGATGTGCTCATCTTTGAATTTAGCATTAAAACTGAAAATATTCTGGAGATGAAAATACTCTTCAAGATATGTTCAGATAACCTCGAGTCCACATTCTAGTTATGGTCGGTTAGATCAAGACTGATTCTTCAAGATTAGGCAGTCGATCAAAGTAAGAAATGATCATGATGTCTCTAAGTGGGAGAAGAATAAATCTATTTGGAAGGTGAGAACTCTCTTAAACAAAACATAACAAGGCTGCCTCAGTCTGCTGTGGCCGTGGACAGAGGATTACTGTAACTGGTGAGCGTCCTGTTTAGCAGTTGAGAAACCAAATCCCACAGCTTCAGAGCCCTAACTTACGCAATACTTCTTATCCATAACGAACTTTTGATGTTGTCATTTTGCCCTAGTTTTGGCTCTTCAAAGACTGATATGAGCTTTCATCTTCTAGCTCAAATGTCTGGCCCTCTATTGGCTTGTCTCTTGAGAGTCTTACTCCCCTTACACAGTTCTGGTCAAAATCCTGTCTCCCTCATACAGCTCTCATATACCATTAATGACATGGCCTAACAACACAGCTTTAGATTTAGGTGAGCATTGGGTGCAGAGAATGGAGTTAAAGTTTTGCTTTGTTGATATTCAGGAACAGTTTAGAAAATGTTTATACAGGAATGTTTTCTGTCAACCACAATTCATGAATCCAAGTTCCTATGGTGTCTGTTCACTGATCACCTCTGCCAGCCAAGCCACGTGAAGGTCTTTGCTGGTGTTATTGGCCACATTCAAACATTAAATATGTCCACAGTCACACATTCAAACATTAAATATGTCCACAGTCACACATTCAAACATTAAATGTTTGAATGTGTGACTGTGTAACTGTAATTTACAAGCTAAGTCAGTTAAATGCAGCTAATGGCATGCTATTCAGTTTACTCTGATGTCCTTAACAAGTGTTCAATCTAGCACACTGTAGT